GGGGGGGGGGGGGGGGGGGGTTCTAACCCCCTAAACCCCCGCGCCCCCCCCCCCCCCTTCCCTACGCCACTGGTAGTCCCCCTGGGCGTCTAAACATAACTGTATGGAAATCCGATTTCCACACAATTGTAATGGAATGAGGTCTGTTTTAACCAAATTTTATGGAAATCGGTTCATAAATAAAGAAAAAAGAAAATATAAGCGAAATCCCGGGGCCTCTACCAAATGAATCACCCTGTGGTTCATGTGTGAGATTGAAAGTTGGTAAAGGAAGAGGCGGTTGGATAGATGGTTGCACTGAGCTGACAGTAGTAAGACGGTCGGACAAGTGTTCTTCGAAATTTTCTCAAGGGATACTATCCTCTTTTAGAAATGAGGAATGCAATCCCATTATAAATGCATCTCGGATAGGGTATGGTAACATTATAATTTGGCATATATCAATTTCGTGTCTGATCGGTCCCGTCGAGACCTCTATTTTGCTGCCATGCAACTTCAACAACAATGGCTGCTTGCAGTTGACCGAGTGACGCGACACGTTTATGATATAGGCCAGGCCTGGTCGTGTTCCACTAGAATTGAAATTCTATTTAATTTTCTCGTTAGAGCTGCTAATGTGATAACTTTTAAGGCACACAATTTGGTGGAAAAGAACGAGGATGAAGACGTCTGGAAACGCCGACATGAATCCTGACATGGGAATTGACTTGGATGAAGGTGTTGAAGGTGAACTAACTGTACCCGGAGAAATTTCATCCCGATCAACACATCCTGGAGGAAAACCAGAATACAACACTTTGGACGAACCAATAAAAGAGACTGTTGTGAGTTTTAACAATGGGACTAATGCTTAAGCCTACCTTAGGGATCATTCCACGTCAAGTCAACATGGTGTTAAAGGTGACTTTCTATTATTTAAGTGATACTTGACAGGCTTATTTGTACCTATTAAGAAAGTGACACAACAATTATTGGACTTATTTGACTTCTTGTTTCCTGCTGTTCTAGGAAACACTAAAGAAAGTCAAAACTACAATTGCATAAAACCAAGTTCAAAGAGCAACTTGAAGGTAAATTCTCTCTCTTAGTTGTTCATATGAAGACATCCTAATGCATGCATCATCTCTTATTGGACAGTTTGTATATATGTGCTGTTTCTGTAAAGGGGTTATTAAGTGGAAGGACTTGACTATGATGTACTATTGGCTCATCAGATTTGTGAGGATAAGAAATTGTTGGAACTGGACTCAGTGGATGAAGGAAATGAACAAGAATTTCCCAGTTGCCTTTAAATTTCTTAAGAACATATATGCAAAGTACCGATGTTCATTACTTCCTGGTGTCACAAACCTTCTGATGCTAGAATATGAGATCTCCATTGAAGTGCCATTTTATCTACCAGGCTCCTTCAAATAAGAAGATCCTTTTCCACGAGGGTGAAGTTGAAGGTGTACACACTTTTCAGTGTTCTAGGGCCACAGAAGTCCAGTAAATTCAGGTATTCTCCAATGGAACATATGCTTCCAGGAATCACATATTCCTTACACTTTTGACCTTTCAAATAAATAGCTAAGTAGCCAATGTCAAGTCTTCTTTCAATATATGCTTTAAAAATATATAATTCAGGTAAATGTCACCTGCTCCTTGGGGCAGGTGAGTGACTCAGTTGATAATGAGCTTACCTCCCATAGCAAAGTATCTAGGTTTGAACCCAAACAAGTTCAGTGTTTATTTCCAAGCACAAACCTTAGCATGCTTGGGCAGGGAGACCCCCAAGCACTTCACACTCCCATTTAATCTCGCTTTAAGGGTGTGGGACATTAACACGCTCGCTGTTGATGACGCTCGTTTCTATGGAAAGGATAACTACAAGGTGTGTCATTGGCAGCGAACGTGTTAAAGATCCCCGATGGTGAAGGCCAAACCTCAGGTAGTCTATTCCCAGGCTAAGTGCATGGACAAAAGTGAGTCTCCCTAGGTGACTCATGTTTGCTGATGTCACAACAGGGAGGGTGTAGATGGGAGGATGGGTTTTGCTGGTGTTCCAGAGTTAGGATGCAGTCATGGTCCTTATTATATTGGGATATATCCTAATATCTCTAAAAATTGCATAGTGCCCAAGTTAAAATTTTTTTGCTACTATTCATTCAATTCTTTTGAAAATCTAAGGGGGTTGTTTTTGATAAAGTGAGGTCAAAGGTCATCAACATGACCTCCTTACTGGATGGTAACTTTCAGTATTTACCAAACTGTATCAATACCAATGGAAAGGGCTGAAAAAAAAAGAAAAAAAAAAAGAGTCTAAGATGAGCTCTCGAGTTTAATTAGGGCAGAAGTTTCAAGGAGGAGAATGCATCAGGGTATGACAATAAGGCATTTCAGCCCTAAATTTTGTGAACTCATGCCAGAGGAACCAGGGGTCTAATGAGCCCAATATTTAGTGTGAGTTTTTTTTTTTTTTACCATTGTTGATAGATACACCAAAATCAGAAGGGATCATCTGAAAAATGCCCTCCAAGTGTGTTGATTTTACATGGAATGACCCTTAGGCATCTGAAAAGCATTGGCAAAGGCCTACTATGCATCCAATATTTTTATATTGACTTTTACTACCTTTCTCAGATGCTGTTACCAATTCTCAAGAGATACCTGCTAACTGCAGTCATCATCAAATGCAAAGGGTTGTAGTAATGAGTCAAGCCCATGTTGTTTCATCCTTTCCTGGATGATGGAATTACTATTTAAAAATTAGTAGTAGTAGTAGTAATAATAGCCAGAACCCATAGAAAAGTGTGCAGCAAATGTATGTAGGGGAAGAGCCACTTCAGAAGCAGTCTGGGCTAACCCAGTCCACATTCTAGCCTATATTAAGACACTGTTACATTTGATTTCTTGCTAGTGAGATGAGCATAGATTACTTTAGGTATGTTCTTGTTAGTGAGGGTGATCCATTTATTTGCCTCAAATTAACAGTCATCTACAGGGAGATTGATGTCAGTGATTAATAAACAAATTTTAAGACAAGACTAAATTTTATTTACCCAAGTTATTTTATGAAAATTGGTGGCACAGTGAATTATATTTCAAAGTGTTGCAGTGTTACAAGATCAAGCAAAAATAGTGCAGTTCAATGTGGGAATAGAAATTGATTACTTTCCTATAATTGGATGGCAAACCAAATTACTAGGTAGAGTCATTGGAAGTGTTGACTGGATTGCCAGGAGTCCACACTTGACAACCTGTCACTTTTTTCTGGAAGGTTTTCTGAAAGAAAGGCTAAACTTTAGAATTTGTTACCATGCTTTTGGGAGCAAATAAATGCTAATGCCACACAAATACAGGGTGTTCAAAATGTCATGCAACCCATGCAGTTATGTTCCTCAATTGCATGTACTTGTGGAATGCCTATCAAGACTATCCTTCTCTTCAACTATTTAATCAATATAAGGGATCTAGGGCTGTGTGACTCTTGAAAAGATGTCATAGGCTATGGATTTCTGAAGTGAATGGCACAGTACTGCTGAGACTGCTCAGTGAGTCACCCCTTTATCTAAGTGTTGTGAACATGTGGACAACACTAAGTCATTCAATTGGAACTTTGAGAAGATTTTAAGTGGTTTGGCCATACTGCAAAGTAGCTTGATGAAAATGTTTTGTCTCCCTTGCAGCTACGAGACTTGAGGGCTGTAGGATCAAAATTCTACCATGTCCTCTATCCAAAACAGAAGAAGGCTCTGCTGAAAGACTGTAAGCATTTATGTTGTTCTTTATCTAATGATTAAAAAAATTTTGCCTCTAAACTCAGAAGTAATGTTTTGGCATGTTTGATTTCTCTTTACAGGGGATCTTTGGGGGCCATTGATTTTGTGTTCCATCATGGCAATGTGAGTTGATCAGGCTCTTGATCTCTGGTCAGTTTTTCAGTATTGAACCCCCAGAATGCTGAATTAAGGAAGGATGCATTACAAATAATGCAAGTAATATGTGATCCATGTTATCTTTAATGTGCAACTGAAAATTATCCATCAATCTAAAAATCATTAGTGTAGAGGGCTGCATTGTTCTTTCTACAAATATTTGGCTTTTGGACATTTCAAACTTTGAGCTAGTTATTTTCTTTAAAAAAAAAAGGAACTGTTAGCCTAAGTACCAATCAATCATTTGAAACATCATGCCATAACTTTAAAGTTGGCTCTTCTATAGTGGGGAAGTTAAATTCACTTCCATTCATCAGATTCCTTGTTCAATTCTCTCTGATGCAATTAAGCTAACCATTGTGTGTAAGTCTATCTCACAAGCATATGTAGCAGTGCTATTCCAGGTGAAGTGAAATTGAGTGATCACAATTTGATAATAATATTTAAAGCATCAGAAGGCATTCTCTGTGAATTGCTACTAAATAGTACTGTATAAATCATTTAGAAGATGACAAGAAATGAGTAACAATTCACATACCAAACTCTTTCTACCCATGTTTCTCTCTCTCACTCATGTTTCTCTAGGATGCTGCAAGAGTCAACCCATGATGCAAATCGCAATGATCATGGTGGTCCTGAATTTGCTGAAGTGTTTGTCATTGTGTGGATTGGCTCAATCATTGTTACTGTCAATTCAAAACTCCTTGGGGGCACCTTGTGAGTTTTCAGTTCCTCATTCACTCATCTGACGAACAATACTGAGTAATGATTTTGCAATTCCCTGATGTTCATGTTTATGCTAACTTACTCTGTATGCAATATTGTTTCTTTGCAGATCATTTTTCCAGAGTGTCTGTGTTCTTGGCTATTGCCTCCTACCTCCAGCCATAGCACTCCTTCTTTGCAGAATAATTCTTTTCTGGGCTCAAACAAGTTTCTTGTTTGCTCTAAGATTTCTCATCGCCATCCTTGGGTTCACTTGGGCCACATATGGTGAGTACTGGATATGGGCTGTTGTAAAAATGTTTTGCCTAAGTTTGTGCTGGTACCTCTTTCTTGACATAATGTTTTTTATTCTTCTAGCCTCTCTGATCTTCCTTGGAGATAGCCAGCCCCCAACGAAGAGATTCTTGGCACTCTACCCCATATTCTTGTTTTACTTTGTGATATCCTGGCTTATAATTTCTCACACACACATCTGAAGGGACATGGCAGACATGAGATACAGTTTTATTTTTGCAGAGGGCAATGGAACGAAAGAGCCTGTCTTGGGCATTGTCACCCTTAGTGGTGTGGTGTTGTCTGTGATGATTCATCCAAATCATAGGTTGTCCCTTGTTATCCTTGATTAATTGTGAGCTGCTGCAGAGATTATATATTTCTTTTTACAATGCAGATCTGTAAGCTGACATGAGACTTTAACTTGTGTTCTCTCAACCCACTTATTTCATTGGCAGCAGAGCATTATCTATTTTGATGATGTGAAATGATCATGTAGGTAAAGAGATCTTGGTTATGGGTGATATTTATGAAATTCTGGTAGGGAAGATAAGAGCACAATGAATAGGTAGTTGCACAGTTTGATATCTTTTAGAGTCCTTTTTTTGGAAAAAAAAAAAAATATATATGGGCAATGAAGCAAAAGTGAAAAATTAAAATGAAGTTCAGTCATCTGCCTTCCATTAGTTGCTCAGTTGTTCCTGTACTTCTGAAGAACCTTCCAGATATGTCCACAGGCATGGCATGGGCAGGAATCATCTTGAGGCATGGCACAAGTGGGAATCGTCATTGTTTGGAAAGCACATGCAATTTTATGTCCTTGTTACTGCTCAAAAAAGAACAGTCAGTGACAGAATGTTATTTCGAAGTTGGAAGTGGCCCACATTACAGAAAAAAAGAAGGCAGAGGTTGGCAAGAACATAATTCTGGAAATCACTCATACCTATGGGGATCACTACAATATATGGTTTTTGAGAGGGGTATCCTATGTTTCTATTTGAAATGAGTACAACATACCTATAACTTCCACATTTCACCATTCGACCTGAACATAGCAGTAAAACCCAAGATTTCAAAATTGCTATTTTTCCTGTAGTTCAATCTCATGACAAAAGTCAGCTTTCACAGATTTTCTTTTGGCAAAACATGATTCTGGCTAATTTATTAGATATTTGGAGTTTTGTCCTTTTGATTTGTTGGTATTTTGAGTTTTCAACAATGCTGCTTTCAGTGAATGGCAGCATATAAAAATACTTAATGTGTTTTTATATTTTGCCCATTATATTCAAAACTAATTGTTTCCATTGAAACCATCTGTACACTCTCTCCTTTGACCTGCAAGTATGCCAAAACCATGTGAAGCACATTTAGCATTGATGCACAACTTCTGGCCCATGGTCTGGGTGCGGTTGCAGAAGGATTTTATCTGGCCCACAACCAGATAAGGTCCTTCTAGTCCAGTGAGTACCCAGAAGTCGCCATCTGATCCTTTGGTGGGAAAGGTTGTGCATCCCTGGCATTAAGTATTTAACCCTTTCGTGCATGAATTTTTAAAGCAAAATAAAAATATGCCCTTCATGGTTTAACGTTTAAGGAGGTACTCTGCCGCAGTAGTCGAATGTTCTACTACTAGAAAGAGACACTGAACAGATTATGTGCCCTTGAGTTGACTGCACGCACCAAAAGTTTCGAGGTATGAGTACCATAGCTAAAAACTCATAATTATCGCCAAAAATTTTGCCGTCCACTACAGTGGACACCATGCACGAAAGGGTTAAAAATGAAAGCTGCACGCACTTACTAGGGGAGGATAGATGAAACTCATTTTCACGGGGGGGGAAGAGGTAGATCAGACCAGGCTTTACTCTGGGTGCTACCTAATTTATTTAACGTCAAATGTTTCCATTCAGTTTGAAAGTGGAAGGTTTCTATTTGTGTTGGGTGTAGCACTCTAAGTATTGATCCTGGTTATCATTCTGTTCACTCTTATTAGTAATTCGAAGATAAAATGCCAGGAAAGGAATTTATTAAATTCTGAATTCGTCATTTCAAAGGAATGAATTTAATTAAAATCTCAAAAATTCAGATTCGGATATTTCTGGGAGGAGAACCTTAGAAGTTACGGTAATTTTAACCAATACGCAAAGATGACCCCCCTGCTTTAGCATATCCTGAGATAAACTGGAAGATTTTTGTTCCGTGCTGAAGCCAAGAAGTGAGGATGTCATAAGACCTCTAAATCGCCGGCAAAACTCCATTGCAGAAGAGGTACCAAGAAAATCAATTGATATGTCGAACGAAAGGTTTGTAAGTATGTGGTGGACAGGTGAGGTCTGATGGGTTGGGACCAATCGGATTCCATTCCATCCGGAACTATTTTTTTTTATATTATGAAGAGGAGTGAAAGATAATAAATACAGCGTCTTCCAGCAATGGTGAAACTCCAGAACTTGCACAAAAGGTGATGCCACCTGAGAAAAGGATGGAGTTTTTTTTTAAACACTCTTTATGTGGGGCTTTTAACCCTTTCAGTGCTACGATCGAGTATACTCGACATTATAGCGGACGAACTGTTGAATGTGTGAAAATTCAATCAATTATGAATCCAAACCTGGTAAATTAATATGGCTGCAGCGCATAAAAAGAAATTCAGGAGTGGCGGTGTTGCTGCTCGCAGAAAATTTCAGCAATGAAAGGGTTAAAGAACTTTGAGAACGGAGTTGACTCTTCCATTCGAGCTTCAAGAGGAGGACTTTGACAAACTTGCTTCACTCAGAGGAAAATGCCAAGTACTGGCAGCAACAGTCTTTTCCTTCGTTGAGTCGGGTTATCGAAAGGATTCCTGCCGAAGTTGTAAAAACTCGGGCGGAAGGATATTTTCTGGCAAAACAGAAACGACTAAGTCGGAATTCCTATGTCCGAATTTGATTGGAATTCCGTCGAATATTGTCTGCAAGCCCTATATTTGTCTTATTTGCTTGAAGTGCATAATAAGGGGATACAGAATGGCACTATTGATCCTCCAAATTACTTGAGCGTGTCTTAATTAGTACGAATGTAGCGACCAAATGAAAAAGGGTGAACTTTATTTCGAACAAAATCCAGCATGAGTTCGGCTCGGGTATCCCATACTGGCTCACTCGTCGCCCAGGATAATCAGGACTGTGATAGTCACTGTGCGCCCAGGGTGGCTATTGATAAGTTGGCTACTGGGGCTGGGCAATCCGATGTCTCTGGGTGCGTCGGACCCCGTCATGCTACATCCAGGCCTATCGGTCGACCTGCCACCGGCCACAGCGTACTCTCGGCACGATGCCCCAAGGGCAGACCAGGAGCGGGATCGAACGGTAAACGGACTCTGAACATCGAGACTTGGAACGTGCTAACACTCGGCGGTAAGGAGCCTGAACTCGTGGAGGAGACAACTAGATATAGTTGGCCTGGCCTCAACCAAGAGGAAAGGCACCGGTTCCATTACCCTAGATCACGGATGGACCCTCTACTGGAGCATAGTCGACTCGACCGTGTTTGCTCAGGCTGGAATAGGGATACTCATTAGTCCCCAACTGGCCGAAAGCGTCATCGAATGGAACCCAGTCAGCGAGCGTGTCGCTCTGATCCGCCTCAGACTGGAGCAAGTCGGAGTCTTGGCCGTCGTTCAGGTCTACGGGCCAAACAGAGCCAAACAGCGAGCCAGATTACGATGCGTTTTTGGAGGAGGTGGATGGAACCTTAGAAAGGATTCCAAACGACGACCGCGTTGTGCTGATGGGGGACGAGTTGGGAGAGACGAAGCTACATGGAGTGGTGTGATCGGTCGATTTGGGAAGCCACGCTGAACCGGAGTGGCAGAAAGTTGCTGGACTTCTGTGCTGGCAATGACCTGACCATCACCAACACCTTCCAGCACAAAGATATCCACAAGTTTACCTGGCACAGGGGGTCTGATAGTCGGATTTGTACTGTGTGCCAGCAATCACTGATCGATTACGTGATCGTTTCGGCTGACTTGTGGGGCCTTGTGATGGATACGAGTGTGGCGTGGAGCAGAACTGAGCACCGATCATCATCTAGTGGTCAGCAAACCGGATACGAGCAAATCTCAGAACGAGGCAGAGAACCGCACGCGTTGAAAGACGAGTGAGGTGGAAAGCCCTTCGCGATGAGGGAACTCGTGACGAATTTGCGAGGGAGATCGGCGAGAAGTACTCCCAACTGCCTCCCCAGACGTCAGATGTAGAGACCGAATGGACTCTATTTCGGTCTGGTGTTTCGGC